TTTACAAATATTTTAAAGGAGATCACCTACTGAAGTCTATGAGTGAAGTTCATCATTCACCAATGTTAAAACAGCAGCATAGCTTACAAACCTGCTCAAGCCCCAAGACTTGAGGGCTGAAACAAAGAGAAAAAGAGCACAATGAAGCCACTGGAAGCCTCCATTTCCTCCTTTAATGGGGAGAAACTATTAAGATTATTGGATCAGAAAAACAATAATTCTTACAGAGAATGCAAAAGTCTTACATTATTACTGTTGTTTACCAACGTATTCTGGTAAGTACATTTTTACACGACATACATGTCTTAGATAAATTATGCCATTATGTATGAAAAAGTGCACTTTTGACATGTCTTGAGCCATTTAGAAGTTTTCCTGCTCTTAGAGAATTCAAACAACAGTCCTTTAAAGCATGACAGGAGCACGTAAATGACAACACAGACTGAAGGAAGGTCTGAAAATGCTCATATGGAGAATTTCCCCAAAATTTTCATTAACTTTCAAAAGCAGAAGTTTGTAACTGATAACGTGTATCTAACCTTCCAGTATTACACCATCTGATAACAAAGAAAAAGCATCAAAATGATTTCTGTCTTCAGAAAAACTATTTGAAGCATCACTGCAACAATCAGAAAGATCAGTACAATGGAATGATAATACAGAAAGAGTAATAAACAAGGGGACAACACAATAGGAAGATACTACAAGGGAAAGACAAAAGCACAACTTGCCCATCTCCGGATACCTAGGCTCGCAGTTGAAAACCCCACAAAGAGGAGACCTCCAGCAAGAGACCCTTCCCTACTACCAGTCAGCCCTTAAATGAGCTCTAAGAGAGGTGCAGCCAGGCTCCACCCCTTGCAGTCACACAGCTGAACTGCCTTCACCTGTGCTCCCAGGGCGGATGGTTCCTTTCCCCAGGTGCTCAATCAGTGGTTCAGGCTATGACTCAACAGTTACATACAGTCACTCATAAGTCACATTTATTTCCCTTAGTGAGTGACAGGAGTCATAGACAGGATCAAGTTGAACTCGTGAGCCCTATTCCAAGTTTCATCTTGCTTTCTGTGGAGAGCCCTTCTAGACCTGCAAGCCAAGTTACAGTCTTGTGTTACCATTTTCTCTAAGATTTTCACCCACGGGTGACCAAGAAAAATCAAAACAGAGCAAAAGGGTCCCTAACATAGTGTAAGAAGTAACGCTGCAGCAAACAAGGTATGAAAAGACATTTACAGGCAGAGTAATTGGCCAATAGAAAACATATCTCCAAACAGTGCTTTCCAGCTGCCTAAGCCCAGCAACTCCCACAAAATGGTTGTACGTATAATCTTCAAGAAGCACTGACAAGCTATTTCTTTTGCTCAGAATAAGTTTTAAACATTCTACAACTCACATCCTCTTTGCAGCCTCTTTTCTGCTCACTGTTTGCTACAAGAGATTCTCCCTTTCTCTGAGCTGCAGGAAGAGGCCGGAACTGCTGCGCAAGAGCAGATACGTTTCAGTTTGGGATATTTCTTTGATAGTAAAAGACAAGCTGAGAGCACAGACAATCCCCAGTATCCCAATGAATTAACATCAGATGACTTTGCACAGTGGCCATGACAAGCAATAATTTGAATCCAACCCATGTAGAAGGCCTAATTCTGTTCAGGCATAAATTGGAGCAACTCCACTGAAGCACATCCAATTTGCTGTAGAGATCAGCAGTGTAGCCACACAATGTGCACCAGCAAGGGACCCCAGCAAGGTATGGCAATGTGTACAGACACGCAGACTCTGCTCTCTGTAGGAAGCCTAAAGTGATGTGAGAAGATTCACCATCTCTATCACAGGAATGGCACCACCCATGGGTGACAAAATACCAGCCCAGCTTCCTCCCACAGCAGCAAGTCTTTCTGCAGAGGAAAAGCTAGGTTGTAATCAGAAGTTGTCTTGACACCACTCAGAGCTCCCGAGCGGAGACTGCTTCTCCCATGCAGCTCAAATCTGCAGCACTTCCCCCCCATGCACTGGGTGCTGCAGGTGTGCAGCCCTCAGTCAGAATGTCCCTCTGCCAGCCTGGGCCACCACAGCCCTGCTGCTCCATGCCATCTCCTGTCCAGCAGTGATGCACCCAAGGCTGAGAGCGGCTTGGCATGCTTTAAGGGACGTTGGCTATAACCCCACCAGAATAGGAACACTCACAATGGCAGAAGACATGTCAAAAAATGCACTTTCATTTTTTGGTCTGCTCCTGCGGCTGTGGTGCAGCCTCAGTGTATCTGCAGCCCCAGGAACACTGGAGGGAGAAAAAAGGGACACAGAAACCAACAGTTCAAGTCTGTTGTATACAGAGCTGAATTTCTCTGCCATCCTTGCTCATTCCCTCTGGACACACATTAACTTACCAAACGCAACAGGATACATTTACATTTTGGCAAAAACTCAAAGGCAGTTGGGTTGTCACCTATGTCTGCTATGACTACAAAATATAAAAAAATTACATGTGCAATTTTCATATGTAAATCATTCCCCACATTTCATTAATCTGTTCCTAAAAATGCTGCCAAGGAAGTGGGATGTCTGCTTAAGGATAGATTCAGGGAGGGGGGATAAATTAATTGTTATTTGATAGAGCAATTCTCCCTTGTTTATCTAGCAGTCCTCCCCTAGCCACTGTGCACCATTAGCAGATTTAATAACTTTTAATCAGGCTATCACGTTATTGTATTTCTGTATGAACTAAAAAATGCTTAATGGGCTTTTATTTTAGAAGCAAAAAAATTCCCATTACAGCAGATTAATGCTATGAAAAAAAAAAATCTATACTAATATCTCTACAATAAAGGGTATGAATTAATGGATAGCTGACCCAGTTACAAAAATGTGGAGGTTTTAGAAAATTCAATACGATGTATTTTTAAACCTCACACTGTAAAGTCTTTGAATACACTTCAACAAAGAAGCCTTCTGTTATGCAAAAATGTTGTACATCCTGGCATAGAAGCACAAATTTAATTTTAATTGAAAGAAATCCTGCCATCCTCTCACCTAGGAAGCAGGCTTGTACTTTGTAATGCAGGCAGAATGCGCCTGGATGGGCGGTATCCTCTGCTGCCTGCTTGAGCTTTAGCCCAGTAGCAAGCAGAGGCTCTGCAGCTGTAGCAAAAGGCAAATGGCTCATGGTCATCACAGCCAGCATTCTTCCAGGGTAGCCGAGCCACTGGCACTGCCACCAGAAGGAAAGGCAGAAGGGGAATCACGGTCAGTGCTCAGCACTTCCCACCACTCCCACAGCAAAATCATGTGAAAAAGAGCATCGCCATCCTCCCTCAGCCTTCACCCACACTACAGCTTCAAGCACAGCAGTTGTAGTTTCTGTACTGCGTGCCTATAAAAACTAAGATGAGTGCAAGTTAATCCTCAATAAGAACTAAAAAAAAATAACCAAGAAAGACTAAGAGAAATACTTACATCACAAGAAAGTATTATTGATTAAAAACCTCTCCTACTGTACAAGTTCTGCTTGCTTATCGAATTATTCCTCCCTCCTCCTACCACCCACCTTAAGCACAGCCAGGCAGCAGCTACCATCTTCTTCATCCCATTGCTACTCCAAGTACACTCATCACTACACCTGGGGAAGCTCTGAAATAACCATCTTCAGAGCGAGATATTTGAGATGAGAGGTGCTCAGCTCACAGCTGGGCCTTGCCATGTCTTAGCAGTAACACCTCCTTACATGAAACAGAGTCTCCATCCAGTGTGTAGGTTTCTCCAGAATGAAGGATTTCTGGGGAAGACTGGAAGTAGACAGGAAAAAAAAAGCCAAGTTTTTTGAATCATTCCCTGTTTTTTTTGTCTTATCGTGCCATCACAGTGAGTCAGTAGTGCTGAGTTTTGTAGATAATTATGTCCCATCGCATCTCTTTGGTCATTACTCAGCTGAGCTTTGCTAAAATATTTAGGTAATCATTCTCTATCTCTATTAAAACAACAGATGGAATTGCCAACCTTCAATTTTATGCTGGAATTCGGGAGCAATTTATTAACAGCTCGAACTCTGTTCTCTTGAGGGTTTAACGTGATGGTTGAACCCAATTACATTACAGTCCTTTGTTCATCAAGGGACATATGTAACATGATATTAAATGTGAAAACTTGTGTCTGAATAATACAGTCTTTGTGATACAAATTGATAGAGTATACAAGCTCAGATTTAAAGCACAAACTCTTCTTAATTCTGATCCTACAACATAAAAATTTAGGACCAAACCCACTACTGTCAGCAGATGCATATAAAACCATAGCATATTAGTGTTGATTCATTGTTTTTCTTCATCCTATCTGATAGTCAAACCATTCTGAAATCCCATCCATACAGTCCAGAGGCTAGACTTTGATTTCCACAGACGAGTGAACTTTTAAGTCTGTACACTCCTCCATCTTGCATCAGTCCCAACACTACAGCCTATGGGAGCCCCTACACACATGCACAGAACCCAGCCTATCATCTCAAGCAGTTCCAACGTAGCATGGAAGACTCCCTTACACAGCAAGAAATCCTACACTTGGCTTCAGCAGCTGTGTGTTCGTCACAGAATTTTAAAATCACTCCTAATAAGTTCACTTCAACTGGGTAACATCACTTCTTCTATTATGAATCTTCCCTTTCCTCCTTGCTGAATGCTACCAGCCTATCACACATGTTGCTGTGCCCCTTCCCAACCCTTCCAGTGACAGGACACCAGTCCTGTGGCAGCCCATCCACCTCCCCTCCACTGTACCTGTGCTCCAAGTGTATTGCCACTGCCATGCTACTAACAGACAAACAACAAAAGAAAGCAAGTACACAGGTCAGTGAACATCAGAAAACCAAGCAACCTCATATGCACAAAATGTCATCTGCTAAGGAAATGCTGCTTATTTTGAGATAATTATATTTTCATTCTAAGGCTGAAGTGCCTGGCTGAAACACAGCCACAGAACAGCTCCCTAGAAGCATGGGGAGCAAAGTGCATTCTTTTTAATGTTAAACTATAATTACAGAAGCAAAGTGGTATATTGTGAAACATCCCATGCACATAAATGAGGCTGTCAGTGTACTTTGTGCACAACAGGAGGGAAGAGGAAGGTGGCACTGCACCCCCTGAACTGCAGATCCCAGAGCCACAGGTAAGTGGGCCAGAAGTGGCCACAGTCCATGCAGAAAATAATCACTTTAAAAGCATAAATTGCAAGACAGATGTTTCACAGAGATTAACTGTAGTTGAAGACTACAAGAACTTGATTCTAAGCCAAGCTGGCAGCTCAGATGTGGGAACCTACAGTGCAGGTAGCCCAACATGGAACAACTGATCCTGCACTCAAGAGCAACAGGCTGGAACACAGCCAGTTTCCACAGCACTTTGAAATGTCATTTCTCCTGACCACGAAGTCCTGCTTGGATTCATATTAGTTAGGACATTTTTTACCTATCGTATCTAAGGAGTAAAAACAGTGTGCACTGCTCAGTTTCTGGAAAAAAATCTAGAAAGTATCCACACTTTTTCATACTGAGAAGAGCGGGTTTTGGCTATTTTGCCCACTTATTTTTAACCTTTTAGAATAAGTGTGCTGTTTGTATCCTTCAGATTCCTGAAGACTGTCATATTTTTCAAGCACCTGTTCAGAAAGCCCAGCAACTGACCCCATCCAAACCCTTGGCACAAATGGGATTTGATTGCGTTGTTCCAAGTACCTTCATGCCCCAGAGGTTCCCCTTGCCTGGAAAATGCTTGCTTAGGTAGGTTATTCCTTTCCAGTTGTATCACTGGTATGTACAAAGCCCAGACAAAACAAGAAGAAGGATATACCATTTCTCCTATTCACCCACTTGATACCATCAGCCTTTTTCTCCCGTCAAAACCCAAGCACAACAGTGCACTTTCCTAACTAAAGGCATTTCACCTCTGAAAATACCACTCAGATGTTTTTTTTTTTACAATCACTTGTGCAATTTTAACTGAACTGAGACTAAGTCTTCAGCCTTACTTATTTTGCTGTGCTTTTGGTGTTCTTGTGATTTTGCACTGCCCTAACCAGCGCTGCAGTTCTAAGGCACGTAGGAAGACGTAGGACGCTTAATCTGCCACATATTATGATAATAGTCATTTACTCCTACTTAACTAATTCTATTCTGTTTTTCTAATGACAGAGAAAAAGCAGGAAGGTCACAGATAGTTACAAACAAAATATTGTTCCTTGGTATCCATTTAATTCAAATCTCACACCTTTCCCTAGGGTATGAGGTCTTTAAACAGTTACAGGCAGGCACAGGCAGTTAGGAAGGCAAGAAAAAGGTAAGAGATGCACTCTGTGCTCCTTAAGAAAATAACAACATTCACCTTGCTATTACAGACTCTTCTTTCCTATGTTACACAGTACTATTGCTATACAAAAATATTGTTGGCTGCTGTTGGTTTTTTTTTTCCATATACACAGCCAGCAAGAGAGCTCATGATGCATACTACCCTGGAGCACTACCCCAAGGAAAAAAATATTTCTGTATCAAGCTGGCAGTTTTCACATGAAATCCATACACCACTAGCACATATTGATCCCTCTGAGTGAGAACTAAGTGAATTTCACTGATCCAGGCAGGCAGGTGGCTTATCATCCCATCGGCAACAAGGAAGGGGAGAAAAGCTCTCTGGAGACCAGGTCTGGAGCAGGGGCTGCAGAGGTTAGGAAGACAAGGCACTGGATTAGCCAAGCTAACGGGGATTTCTGTTACTAAATGGCTCTAAGTGTAGGGGAAAAAAAAAATCTACTTTCCTTAATATACTATTGCCAGGTGTAAGCAATAAATATCTTAGTCTGTTAATGTTTACACTAACCATTTAAATCCTATGAAGAGGATTGCTTCCAGCTCTTGCCAAGCCATAACAAATGAGGGCTGAAAGGAAGCTGCTCCATGGCAGACTATGAAAGCACTGGGCTGCTGCTTGGCACAGGCTGAGCAAAGAGAAGTATAGGAAAGGCTCCACAGTTATATTTCATAATTCCTTAGGCTTCAAGAGTGATATCCCCTTCTGAAGAATGCTATGTAAAAATCAATTCAATCACCATATTATCAGTGAATGCTTGAAAAAAATTAAATGCAACCACTCTCAAGATAAGAAACTCCTCAAGATAAGAAAGCACAGAGATTATTGGAAGGATTATGTAGGAGCAGAGGCACCCTGGCAGGTCCAGGAGCAGCTGCCCCACACTGTGAAGGAGCAGCAAGACGTGCTGCTCGGTTGGGTACTGCACGGGCTTGTGCCATCTGCAGGCAGCAGCAGCAGCTCACATGGAAGAGCTGACTTGTTTCATGCTTCTTCCAACCTTTTTCCTTCCCAATTCCAGCAGAGATTGAGGGTTTCAAGAAAGGTAACCAAGAAGCATTAAGGGGAAGACAATCTTATAAGGTGGAAACCCATTAGAAAAGACCTAACTCCACACAATCAGCAGGAAGATCTCAGAAGTGCTCAAGTGTGAACAAACTGCTACCACACCTCAACCTACTGCTGGAGGCAGCAGCTGAGAAGCAAGAGATTTTAGGTGTGATAGAACAGTCCTGCCTGCTTCTGCAGAGCTTAAAGGGCTCAACAGACAAATGTACACTCTCATAGGCTCCAAGAAGGTGGCTTCAGCCAACAGATACCAGGTTACATGGATTATATCTCTGATGTATGTACCACTAAATAATATTCCCAGCCTGGCAGAAGTCAGTGCTGTCAGAATTACCCTATCTGATAAGCACAGTTGTATCATTTTATTTGTCTGCATATTAGAAGAAAACAGATTTATGTTACTTTAGGCTGTGGTTTAGGAAAATAAGAAATTTGACACTAGTTTGAAGTAGACTGAATTAGGTTTTTACTAGGTTACTTTTTTTTTTTTTTTTTTTGCTTATTTTAGTCCTAGAAATTGTCCTAGATACCTATGAAGTACTGCATCTCTTCCTTCCTTCCTTCCTTCCTTCCTTCCTTCCTTCCTTCCTTCCTTCCTTCCTTCCTTCCTTCCTTCCTTCCTTCCTTCCATCCTTCTTAATTAAACTAAATTAAAATTATGTGGTATCTGTAAGTCTTCCACAAGTACCCCCAAATTATTTTTTTTTTCATTTACTACATTTAAAGAAAAAGTCTTAAAAGATGACTTTTTTCAGCTAGGAAATAGAATCTTCATCCAACTTGAAGATGAAAGAGTCCCTCCTCCAAAGTGGAGCCCTCTACATTCCTTTGTTCCTTATACAAACAAAACTGCTGACTCCTTGCAAAGAAATGGGTTGCAATGGACTCCCTCCATATGTTCTAGGGAAAAAGCAATGAATCACAGGAGAAAGCAAAGGCTGAAGCAAGTCACACTGGATGCTACTGTATACAGCATTTCAATTAGTATTGATACTATGATTTTGTCTGTTGTTGACTGCACAAGCATACATAACAAATTACTGCAATCAGCAACTGTTGAATAAGTGCTTCTTATTCATTAGCTACTCTCTGATCTAAAACTGTATTTTCCTATTAGCGACTAAGCACCATAAATGTGCATGAATTCAAGTGACACGGGCAACAAGCTTACATAACACAAGGAAAAATCAGGAGAGCAAAAAAGAGCAGCAGTGAGTGAGCATGTACTGAGCGGCATCTCCCTTCACGCTCTTTCCTTTTCTTGATTGCTGCCTGCAAAACCGGCAGTGGGAGAACTCAGTGCTGCACTGACAGCTTCGCAGCCCCCCACGATGCTCCCCTGTATTGTCTAGCACAGAGAGCTGATATGGTGAGAAGGTTCACTAAAAAACTTAGCCAAACTTTCTTATTCTTTTCAAAGAAAGGTTAGTTCATAACAAAACTCGGAGTCTATTAAAAGATGCTCAATAAGCTCTATATTTTGTGTATTCTCCAAATGACTGTCGCAGATGGTTTTCTGTCTGTAAGTGTGATTTGAAAATACTGATCTGTCTTCCACAGAACACATGAAAAAATATAGAAAGAAGTCAGTGCCAGCCACTAGAAGAGAACAGGCTCCACTGAGCAAATTGCAGAGCTGTGGGGAGCACTCCTATTACTCAGGGCTAAAACCCCCAGCAGCCCCAGGAAGAAGGCCGAGTGATGTAAAAGATGTCACCATGGCTCCACTGAGGGACTGCAGGGCTGGGAGGGCTGCCAACTGAGGGGAAAACAATGAACAGGAGGTAAAAATGCTTAGTGCTGTGGCTTTCAAGTCACATGTAAGAGAAGCCCATAAACAAACACATACAAAGTCCAGGTTGTCTGTGCTGAGTCCAAAGGGGCCAAGTGGCAAAGAAAGACACATTTCCATTGAAATGCCACAAAAGAAACCATGCAGAGGACATTATTCTTGACAGGTGATGCTCATTTCCAGTCCCCCCAAAACGTGCTGTCAAGATAGTGCATTCTGCAATGCGTCTACATAAGCTCAACATCTCTGTGTGCACCAAAGCTTTGAGGATGTAATTCCCCATTGTCTCCTCAAAACTTCCCATTATCTCAAAGGAACCATTACACTGCAATGGGGAGTTTATATCCTGACAATCTCCAGATGCTCAATAGCAAATATGACCATTGGCATAGCCCTCATCTCACTGCACAATCCATCACCATGCTCAGACACACAAAGCCAGCAGGAGGTACCGCCAGCTGAGAACGAACTTTGGCAACTCCTTCCCACCGAAATACACATTTCAGATTCTGGTTGTGACACTTCACCTTGAATTCAGTCATCGAAGCTGACTTCAAGACCCTCACTGCAGAAGCCACAACAAATGCAGGATTTCCCAGCCAGCCCCAGGTCTGCTGGTAGGACCTTCCACGTGTTGAGAGCGAGCAGCCAGCATTGCCCATCCGAAGCTCTGTATCTCAGTAGCACTCACTGGCAATTCTGTGAGAGCAGAACAGTGTCTGCCAGTTGCAGACATTTCAAGCCAAGGGGACGACAAAGGCCTTGCTCACCAGTCCCTTCTTACCCACTCAGAATGTAGGGCAGTCTTGAATAAATAAATACCATTGATTGCTCATTTCAAATGTGTTGTCTTTTTTTTTTTTTTTCCTTGAAAAATGAGATATTGTCAGCTGCTGCTGAAGTTTCATGAGACTAGGATTAAAGAACTGGAACCAACATCTGCAAAACAAGCCCTGTTTCATTGCATTGGTTAACTGAAATGTACAGCTCACCCAGCTGTGAAATGCATTGCTAAGCTGAGAAACAACACATCTTCCATTCCTGAGATTTTAGTAAATACAGATTTCGTTAAATTAGTATTGGTTTTTATGGTCAAAAGTGCTAAACTGCATTGTCCACCAACTAAGTCTGTAAGAACATAGTAAGCAGCTGTCATCCTGCACTCCTTGTCCATGGTTCCTCCTCAGTCATTATTCAAACCCAACTGAAATATCTATCCTGAATACCACGATTATTTTTTGGGGGGTAATTCAAATAATAGGATATGAAGGGCTTAGATTTAGATTCCCAGTTAGTGGGAAGCTCCCATTTCCACAGCCATCAAGAAGCAGTTATGCTGGACACCCAAAGGCTGCTGCAGAGCTGTGAGGTCAGTAAATGACATCTCTTCTTCTGACATGGTACGTGGGACTGAGCTTGGTGAGGCCTTGGGCACATAAACACAGAGGTGGCACATTCAGTCATACATGAAGATTTAAGCTTCTACTGCACTAAGATTATGGCGTTGTTCGGCTGCTGGCTTCCTGGATTGTTTTTCTTGAGTGATAAGTTATTGTATGGAATGTAAGGCAGACCTAGGAAAAAAAACAAGCTCCCAGATTGGGCATTATGTTTGTGTACACTTCTGGATCCTGGAAAGTACCACAGAACATTACATGCACTTAAAAATAAAATTAAATTTTGATTTAACGCAGTTACTCCATCCTAAAAATAATTACTTAGAATTATTTACTGCTGCTGAGAAATAGCTTTTTCCATAGACACAAAGGTGGAGCTAGTAATGCACTGTCTTTAAAACTAGCCTACATCTCTCTTGCCCTGAGCTCCTGAGAATCACATTAGTATTGCAGTGACTTCAGGCAGCACTCGTGTCCCCTGCAGCAGCATGTTTGGCAAGGAGACAACACACTGAAAGCAACATACTTCGGGCGTATGCCTTGTGCCACACACAAAGGGAAAACATTTCTGGAACTGGCCAAGTCATAAACGGTAACAAACCCTGCTTCCATGTATCCTTATATCCTGCTGTGCCAGCTGGAAAGTGCAGCCAAACTCTTTGATAGCTGGTATTTCAGTTGGACTGCCCAGATTCAGGGGAATACGTGACTTCACATCCAGTTTTTCTTTTGAACAGTTTGTGTTGGGGTCCCACCAGAATTATCATGTCTGGAAAGGCCAAAAAAGGGTGCAAAAGGGCGAGTGCTGCCTGGAAAGGAAATGGGTAAGGAAGCAAGAGGGGAGCTGGGACCTCGGGGCTGGAGAGATGGGACATAGTACGCAAGACTGGAGAAGGCCGAGCAAAAGGCACAAGGCGGGGAGAGGCACTGGGCTCCTGCACTGCCGGTTTGCGGTCTGCTCCTCGGAGACAGTGGCCAGAGGGAAGGAGCTCGGTGAAACCAGGGCCTCGGGGCCAGAGCTAAGCAGCCCAGCACAGGAATATGGGAAACCGCAAGCGCTTGGTGGTGACTGGGCTGAAAGCACGAGGAGAGGTGTGAAAGGCGAGAGTGCGTCACAGATCTCAAACACCACGTGCAACCTGAGACCGTGCTGAAACACGGAAAGGGAACGATGTGACCGTCCATCTGTACACGTTACCCAAACACAGGGGCACAAGGACACACTGCCACCAGCCTTGCCCGTGCCGTGCCCCACGAACTCCTCCACGCCTCTCGCAGCCGCCACCCGCCGGGCACAGCCGGGACTCGGGACAGGCCCCCACTCGCCTCCCGCCCGCCCTCCCCGTGCCCGGAAGCGCACGGCGGCCGTCCCTGAGCGCCCGGCCCGGCGCGGGAGCCGCCACGGGAGCCGCTCGCAGCGCCGCGGCCGCCGCCGCCCGCCCGCCGCCTCCGGGGCGTCCCCCGGCCCCGCAGCTGACGGCGCTGGAGTGGCGCATCGTGGAGCTGCACCGGGAGGCGGCTGCGGTGAGAGCGGGGCGTGCGCGAGGACCCTCCGCCGGAGGCTCCGGGCGGGTGGCACTGGGGCCGAGGGAGGCCGCGCGGACGACGGGCCCAAGAAGAGCGCTGCCCCAGAGCAGGAGCCGCCCCTCTCGGCAGCGCCGCGCAGACGCCGTGGGGGCTCCGCGTCCGCCCCGCGCCGTTCCGGGGCCTCTCGAGTGCGGCCCGGACGGTGGCGGCCGGCAACGGCCGGCCCGGGGGGCTCTGCATGCGGAAGCGTGCGGCGCGGGGCCCGGGGCTCGGAGCGGACGAGGCTGCAGATCGAGGAGATCTTAAGCGGTGAAAGATGTTAGACACTGTCCGATAACTGCGTGAGATGGTTTACAAGTAAAATGCGAGAGGCTGGAATTCGGAAAGGGAAGAGGAAGTAGCGCAGAAAGGGAAAGCAGCCGAAGTGGAAGCGCTGCCTGTATCCGGCCCGGGCTGAGCTGTGTGTCTGTCCCCAGGCGGGCCGGCAGACCTACGTGGACCCAGCCACGGGCTACCAGGTGCTCACCGAGGCCGCCCACTTGCGGAGAGGTAAATGCTGTGGCTCTGCGTGCAGACATGTGAGTACAAGCCGTGTCCCCCAGCCCCGCCTGGGCGCCATCCCTGTGACTTGTACGTTATTGGTGCTGGGGCAGCAGGAGTTGGTAGCACATGTGTGTTCTGCCCTGCCTTAGAGAGGATCTCAGACACGTTAAGTCCAGGGAAGGTTATTGGCATAGAATTAAAATATTGGAGCATTTCCCATTGACATTATCTCTTAGAAATAGCATGAAGTGCCCTGCACAGGAGTTATTTGACTGACTCTTAGTTTATGGAAGTTCTGTACCCTTTCACAAGTCCCTCAGCCAAGGGCAAGAAGCAGCGTATCACAAAGCCTGTGTCCAACAAGCATTCCCATTTCAGGGATGGGAGATGGGGTTTGTCTCAAAGATAGCTCGGTTTTCCAGAATGTTGTTTCAAACTTTAGAAGCTATGTTTTGTAGCAAGATGGAGAAGTGACATAAGGTGCAGGATTTGGTAGAACAGTGGGTGAATGTCATTAAGCAATAGGGTCCATCTGATGAGAACTGTGGATTTACATACATAGACCCAAGGAGCGCCAGTTCTGTCGCTTCCAGTACAGACAAGGCCAAGGCCACAATCATCCCCCAGGCAGGCTCTGGTTACAGCTGTGCCTGAACTTTCATGTGGGTAGCACTCAGGGTGCAGTATACACGGGGCTGGCCATGGTGCATTTAACCTAAAGATCCCTCTGAGAGCAGTGGAGAAAGGGAGTGAGCGCATGTGATACACAGTTCAAATATGTGGAGCTGATTGTGGCTCTGCTTTAGCTTTTCCTTTTTAAAGTTGCTGCCCGAGTGGCAAAGACTTGTTTCTTCAGTGAGATCTCTCTCTTCCTATAAGGGAACTGTCAGGACACAGGGCTTTGGGGACAAAGAGTTTCAATTGATCAGGACATGGTTACAGATGTACTGAGAGCCCGGGATCGTGTTTTCTCCCCTCTGCTCCTAGTGCCGTGCTGTGCTCTCAGCTGAGCTATTCTGGGAGCTGCAGTATGCACAGCATTTCTGCAGTTACATACAAAATAAAGAAGTTTAAGAACAAAAGATTGTTCTGGACAGTCAAACTAGAATGAGTTGGAAGGATACATTTAGGAAGTGGTTTCTTGGACGCTAATTAGGACCATTTGCTTGGGGTTGCCATTATTTTCCTTTTAGTCTGGAGGGCACAATAGATCAAATGATTTATATATCATTAACAATTCCTGTTAACCATAAGCCGAGCCGGGCTTTTCCATACTGATTACTAAGTAGTGCAATAATGGCTTGTTTTATTTCTTCTGCAGTGTCCATATGAGCAAGTTAACGTAAGAGACCAGTCGAAAAAGAAGCGCTTCAACTCTTTTTTCTATGTGTGACCATGAACGCCTCTGCACTCAGCGAGAACGGCTGCAGGACCTGAGCACACCTTGTAGCTCCACGTGGCTGCCACCACCAGCTCTCTGCCATGCGCCGTGCCTGCAGCCGGCACACGGTGACTGCGCTTTTGTTGCAATAAAGCACCAACTGAACGGTGTGTGCGTGTGTTTTGGCACAGCGTTATTGATCACCTCTCCTCTTTCTTTTGCACTACAAGTAACGGGTTCATCCATTTGTTGGATTGTATCTGGTCATACCATGAATTTCACTTGGAAAGAAGCCGGGAAAGCAGGTGTATGCGATAATTTACATCCCTTGGGTGTATTTATCATCACTATTGCGTACGGTGCAACATGTAAGAAATACTGCTAATTTGGGTACACTCTGGAGTTTGGGTTGATTTTTGGAGGGGTCAGGGACAGCGATACTGAACTGTGTGCTGTGCTACCTGAAGGCAGTGCTTTCACGGACAGCTGCCGCCAGGGGCGATTTGCTACTAGGGCTGAGCCCAGCCCGCAGCTCCCCAAGGATGCTGCGTCCCTACCGGGTACCAGGGAGCAGCAGACCGGGCTGGGCCACGCTTCCAGCTGGGTCTGACCCGGGGCAGCCCTGGGTTTCCCCACACACCCGTGCTGAGCTGAGCGCCTACCCTGAGATGGGGTGGGAGGAGGACCGGCTGGGCAGATTGGACTGTGTTCTTGAATGATTTACATTCTTCGTATTTGATTGAACGTCTATCTGATCAGTGTCCAAGTTTGTAAAAGGCTTTGGAAGACAGAAATGTTCTGTTTGCAAGCATAATACGAAGTGTAAAGTATGCTACACAAATCTACAAGCAGCCGGGAGGTGCCGAGCCCTCCTGCGCGTTGGACAGACCCTCAGCGGGCGCTCCCCCGCCTTTGTTCCGTGCAAAAGGCAGCCCCTCTATTTCTTACTGCAGCCACTGCTATCTGCGCTGTTGCTCTTACTGCCTGGCACAGCATCTCCCTCAGATCAGCTCCCAGACCGAGCGGCACCGGGACGCGTCCCGCCGCGGTGCTGATGTGCGGCGGCGCTCCAAGAGCCGCGGAGAAGCCCAGCCCCGAGCGGCCCCGGCCCTCTGCCCCGACCTCGCGGCTACGGAACTGGCCGGGGGGCACGACGGGCCGCGCTACGCGGAGAGGCGTTTTTCATCCGCGTACTTTCAGACGAATCGGGAGGTTTCGTTTGGGCTGGAAACTATTGTCTGTTGCTCGGTGTCCTATTTTGCTCCAGCCTCGGCTCCGATTGAACGAAATGTCTCTTAGCCAATTCCAAAAAGAAGCTCGTACAGGCTTCCAGATGCTAAGATTTAGATCATTTGAACGTCAGCGCAGCCTTCTGGTAACAGAACACATCCAAATGGATTTCGTTTGTATATTGACGTCCGTCAGACGGGAAAGAAGTGCATTTTAGAGCTGAAGTCTGTCCCGGCCGTGTTAGCAACGGGGCTGCAGGCCGGGCGAGGCGAGCCCGGACTCCCAGGGGCACTGGGGGCTGTGCTCGAACGCGGGGCCCGCACCCTCGGCCCGCTTCCCGTCGCCAGCGGGATCCTCCGGTGAGGGGCACGGCGCTGGCAGCAGGTGGCTCTCCTATAGCCCGGCTCGTGCCCCTGCAGCAGGGTCGACGCCTCGGGCGCTATAGGGAGCGGGGCCGGGCACCGAGCCGCCACGCAACAGCCGCCCCGCCGCCAGCCCGGGCTGCTCTATCCCTAGGGCCGCCCCGGCTTAAACTTCCCGCTGAGGAGCGATTTACCGTCACCAGAGGGATCAAACCGGCCCGGCCCCGCAGCCGGCACAGCGCACCCTAGGTCACCTGCGCACTGGGCACGCCCTGCGGGGCTTTCTCTGCTCTCCTTCCGCTAGCAGCGCTGCCCCCCTCTCCCCTTCCGACACCTCCACGAGTGTTTCTCCGGGCGCGCTGTCGCTCCGCGGGACCCCTCTGCTACCCGCGGGGCGGAGCGGGCTCCGGGCGCGGCTCCCGGAGGGGCCCCGCTCGCTGCTTCCAGGGAGCGGAGTGCTGCCTCCGCCCTCCGCCCGGTTCCTTTCCATGAGCAGATCGTTAGCATCCCTTGCCGGCTTTCCTTCTTCTTCCTTCTCTCTTTTTTTTTTTTTTTTTTTTTTTTTTTTTCCTTCCCCCTTTTCTTTTTATATGAATAGATCACCAAGCTGGCCACATCGACCTGGCGGTCACACGGCTCAGGGGAGAGGAGCTGAGATTGTCACAGGAGCTCAGAAAAAGCCCCGGGGAAGGCCGGGCGGGCATCAAACCGCGCGGAGAGCGGCTCCGGGTGTCAAACGCGAGCCTCGAGCCTCTATTTTTCTGTTGTTTTGAGTCGGTGGATCAATTGTCATCGGTCCTGTCACCTAAGAAGCAATGATTCCGATTCAACTTGGCATCTGATTTTATTCTAATGGGTTAAATTGGGTTCACTTTTTCAATTATCCCAGGTTTGACTGCGTAGTATTGCATGACAACTCACAGTTTCATCGGGTTTGGCAAAGCGAGCTTGCTCCGCGAGTACGTATATCATATCACATCAGATCAGGCTGAAGTTTGCTGTTTAGCGATTCCATTCTCGAGTCGCTTTTTGTAGAAGTGGGAAGGGTTGCTGCAGTCCGCGGCTGGTTCGGCACGATTCGGGGAAAAAAAATAATGCAGCGAGATGGCAACAACACGGGGTTCGCCGCTCAGCAGTGAATTAAGCACAGAACGAAGCAAGCGACACTATGGGGAACCGCTCCACTCACCGCAATATTTTTAGCAGCCTCTCAGCCCTCGCCTTTTTTAAATTTCCTAATATGCTCTTTGCTTTATTAGTTTTATTTACAACCGGCTCCCATTAACACCTCACCTGATTACTGAGGAGCTGAGACAGCTAAGCAGGAAAACCCAGCAAAGCGGCCAAAGCTGGGAGGGAGACGGTTTGGTTTTCATTCGTTCTTTTTATTAATATTTGTTTGTTTTGTTTCGAAGTAAATATTTTGAAGCGGGCAGCAAAGAAAAGGCAGGTAAACGCGTGTGCTGCGGGGGTCAGAGGTGAGAAATTCGCGTCAATTCCGAATCAGAAGCGATGTAGCGAGGGGGAGAGAGGCGAGAGGGGGAGAGGGAAACAATCCTTCCACGCAGCAGCTTGTTTATTTTAATTAACGTAGGGATCCTCCGCCAGGGAGAAGGACCCACCTCCATCTCGCGGCTGAACACCGAGCCTCTCCCCACCCAGACCCCAGCCCTCGCCGCTCATAAAGGAGGGCACAGTTTGGGCAGAAGCTCCTAAGGTCGCAAGGTAAGGTCCTGCATGAACCCCTGTAAGCGGTGCGGCGATTCAGACCTCACGATGCCATTTGCGGGTGTTCCTTTGCCGTCGTGTTGTGTTTTTTTTTTTTTTTAAACCAACAGCCCAGAATGGTGGTTACCCCAGGTGCTTTCGCAGTCAGCGTTCGGTGCGGGTGTTTTAATCCGGACAAACAGTAGTGTGGGAAGCCAGAGCCGTTCTTTTTAATAAATACGGAGCTGTGTTCTGTATTCCTTTTTCTTTCTCATCTTATTTTTTTCCTTCCTACGAAAGGCTCCCCTTACCTGTCCGTGAACGTAGCCTTTAGGAGCATCCTTCCCAAAAGCAGCTAAACACGGTACTTTCCGACGGCTAAATTACACCCGGAGTGCGCGTTCGATGGAGGTTACCGTTAATCCGCCGAGGAGCTGCCGGCTGCGCTCCGCCGCGGTGAGCAGAGCCGCTGCGCGCACATCGCGATCCGCAGCCCTGCTCGCTGCTGCCTGGCCGCGGGGATGCGTCCCTGGCAGTGCCACGCTAAGCTCATCGCGGTCGGTTATCTCAGTATCACCTCCTTCGGCAAATGAATACGCGGCTCAGTGCGCGTTTTCGGATTACCGGGCGCTCTGAGTTTTGCTTTTTTCGGCCCGATGCTTTGTGCTGGTAGGGCAGCCCCACACGTGCCCGAGCAGCACCGGCCCGGCCAGGAGCAGCAGTGCGGGGTGTCGCGGCGCTGACCCCGAGCGGCTCTGCTCCGGGGGTGCGGGACTGGAGAGAGGCGGTGACGGTAAAAGTTATTACGGGCGCCAGAGGGGAATTTGAAACAGTACCAAGATATTACATATATATATATATATAATGCAATCAATTTAAATGCAGAAAGCAACCTTGGCTACTTTTGGTATCACCTACGAGAGAGTCGACTTTACTCCAATTCTCTGTTTGTGTGCCCGATTCCACGGGGCGACGAGGCGGAGCGGCAGTAGCCCCGTGCCCCGCAACGAGCTGGCAGAGCAGAAAATAGCGATAGGTTGTGAACCTAGACCCGGCTCCCAGCGCCCGGCGCGGGCAGCAGCACTGCCATTCGCTGTCGCCTTTTCTGCGTTCGGATCCTCCGGACGCGATGTGCCGGGCAGCGTCAGCGGGGCTCAGGTGCCCGAGCGGGACAGAGCCCAGTGCCCTCCCGCTGCCGTGCTCCTGGCGCTGGCTCGCAACGAGGGGGAGCTGAATCTGTCCCCTGCTCCCTCCCCGCCGCAGTGCCCTCCCCTCTCTTCTAATTATTGCTGGTTAATTATTAATTCGCATGTAGATGTTGTCCTAAATTCCCCGAACTGAGCGCGGGATCGTTCACGCTGTAATAGGCTTTAGCTTGGAGCCCGTGGCCGAGAAGAATGAGAGCTCTATAGCGGAGCGGTGCCGGCATCGCGTGCCGCAGCCCGCCCGGAGCGCAGGGGGACTGCGGGGGGGGGAGGGGGTGTCGGAGGAGGGGGGGAGCTGATGGCAAAGCCAGGCCGGGGAGGGCGGGCCGAGCGGCTGCGGGCTGTCCCGGTCTGCAGAGTCCCACGGCCGAACCCCCCCCCCTCCCTCCATCTCACTGTTCGGGACTTTTGCAAAGGCCGAGCACGTACTTAAGTGAAGGAAAAATCCTGCACTGACTGAAACACCTCGAACGTTGCCCATCTGATGTCTTCCCAAAGCGCTGCTGCATGCCGCAACGAGGAGCTGCGTTCGGAGGCCAAGTGCTAATGCGAATGGCTTCATAGGAGATGAAGACCTCGATTTGGGCTTTAGATGCTCCGTTGCGGGCTATCCTACCCAGCTCGAAGGGCAGCGGCTCCCACAGAGCCCGGCCCGGGGCGCCCTCACCACCCTCCCACAGCGGAGCGGTGCCAGGACAGCGAGCCCGGTGTACCGGGAGCTACCGCGGGCTTTTGGAAACGAAGAGCTCACGTCTGATGCTAGCAACAAACTTTTGATGTCCCCTTAAGTAAGCAACACATTCATCAGTAAGAGCTTTAGAAACCTCCGGCCTCCGTTAGCGGAGCGGCGGATCCGTAACGCTACCTGATGGAGCAGAAGGGAAGGGCCCTCTCATTAATTAAGCGCGCCCGCCTGGAGGAGGTTCCGTCGTTCCTGACACTGCTTACGAGCCTGCCCAATTATTCCTGACGGAGCGGCCGAGCCCGGGCGGAGGTGGCAATGCGGTACCGACGGGCTCGGCGCTGTCAAGGAGCGGCTCTCGGCCCCGCACCTGCGGCACGTCGCTGCCCAGAGCGCCCGGACCGGCAGGGACACGCAGGAACCGCGCAGGGAGGACGGGGTTCGGGGATGCCCGAGCATCGCCTGTGCTGCACGGCGCGGGGGGAAGCGCGGAGACAACGCAAAACTGTTCTCTGCTCTGGGGCAGGCAGCGATCCCCACAAAATAGCTGGACGGGAATAAAGGAACATTTCGTTGGGACAAAAAAATAACAAACAAACAAACAAACAAACAAACGAAAAAAAACACGCTAGCAGCAAATCAACCCAAACCCTGAACGTGCCACCACAGTGGAAATATTTCACGCAATGACTGAACTCGTCTCTAGAAGAGATGTTGCCCTCACCGCAGGCGCCCGCCGGGCAGGCGCAGGGCTGCGCGCAGCCGGACGGCCGTGCGCGGGCGAGAACTCCTACCGAGGGCTCCCAGCCCTCTCCCCGGCGCCGGCCGCCCGCGCTCCCCGCTCTCTCCTTCCTCCCGGGCCGCTCCGCTCCCACGAAGTGGCTGCGCGGCCCGGCCCGGCCCGGCCCGGCTGGGCTCGGCCGCAGGGCAGAGGGGCACTGCGAGGGAGGGGGCCCGGAACGGCTCCCGGCCCCCGGATCGAATCACCTCCTTTATTTTTTCCTGATGGCTCATTGTGCTAATTGACTTGTTTTCTCCAAGGAAAGCCCATTTCTCCCCCCTCTTTCCCCCTCTACAGTTTTTTGTTTTTTTTTTTTTTCCCTTTCTTTTCTTTCTTTTTCTTCTTCTTCTTCTTTTTTTTTTTTTTTTTTTTTTTTTTCTTTTCTTTTTTTTTTTTTTTTTTTTTTCCCTTTTTCATCTTCAACCGGGACTGCTCTGCAGGACTCCACGGCTGGTGGGGGGTTTCTGCCCGTTATAAGGGAGATTCCCTCACCCCTTTGAGCTTCGTCGATTTTATAGCTATTACTCTTATTAAAACACACACGCACATACAACGCATTGATTTCCATCCAAAAGGGCTAATTACATTACTTACAGTAAATAGCAGCCCTGCTGTCCGGGGTCTAGTGTGCCAACAGAGAAAAAAAATCCCGGCTTATTTCACTTGATTGACTTCATCTTTGTGTGAAATTGTGTTTTATGAGCTGTATTCTGGCACTCGGAGGAATGTAGCAACATTCAATCTGCAAATAACATTAATTTTAGCTACTTAGGGAGAAAGAGAAGGGAGGAAACCGGCCTCCTGGATCTTGGGTTACAGGGAAGAGGTGACTCGAGGAGCCCCCGAGGATGGCTATGGGATGCTTTGCAGAGGAAGTGGGGGCTGGGGCACTCCTTGCAGCGGCCGCGCTGGGGCTCGGTGTAGAGCGTCCCCCAGGGAGCGGGGAGCGCGGAGCTGCCGCCAGGAAGATCCTTCGGTAGGGATCGAGGTGTCAGGAAACAGCCGGCAGCTGTTCCAGGGAAAGGCGAGGAAGAGCAGTGTGAAAAGTAAGTAGGAAAAAGGGGAGTGGAGAGGAGGGAGAGCAGGAGAGAGATTAGCCAGGAAGGAATGCGCCGCCCGGACCCCTGCGCGCGATGACCGCTGGCAGCCGGAGTGGCGAGGGACGGGGGGAGGCGAGGTCCCGTTTCGGCTGAGGGCGGGGGCCTCCCGGCGGCGGTGGGGCGGGCTGTGCCAGAGGACCGTTCGGGACCCGAGCGGAGCCCCCGGCTGCAGCCGCTCTCGGAGCCCCGATCCCGGGCGCGGAGTCCCCGCTGTACGGAGTGGCCCCGGGGAGCCCGGCCCCGCCGCCGCCTCGCGGGACTCGACGTTTGGGGGAGGTAATAAAGCCCACCCCACCCACAGGCCCGGCTGCGATGTTTGTCGCTGCTTGCCCATCACTAGGGGTTGAGAGGAGTATGACAGGTCTTTGTTGTCTGAATAAAAATCAGTGGCGGCTCAAGGGAGAGAACTCCTCCTACTAAATTATCAAAAATGGGCTGGCTTTAGTCTCTTAACAAATTGGACAGAGCTCCGGAAGGCAGCAGTCCCAAATCCAACCTACAGGCACTGGGAACTTTAAAGCAACCAGGGACTGCTTGAAAATAGCACTTCTTTTTGCTTTCTTTGTATTCAAAACTATATCCTCTCCCGACCGGTTCTGCCGCCCCAGGTCCGAGTCTCTCCGGTCAGGAGCCCCAGCTCTCCAGAACAGTAACAGATCCTTTAGCTCGTTTTTCTTCTTTGATTTTTCAAACTAATTATTATTACGTTTTCTTCCCCTTGTTTGTTTTCCGCACACCTTCAGGAAGCCCTCGGTGCTTGAGCAAAGAGAAGCTCCTATTGCAACCTCCTTCCCTGTGCCGTGCGCCTCGGTGTAAACATTTTGGATGATCTAAAGACTCTGGGGTCTGTATATGGAAATAGTGGGGTGCAGAGCAGAAGAAAATACTTGTCCTTTCCGTCCCCCAGCCATGCTTTTCCACGGGATCTCCGGAGGCCACATCCAAGGAATCATGGAGGAGATGGAGAGGCGATCCAAGACCGAGTCCCGCCTGGCTAAAGGGGGACAGATGAACGGCCGAGAAACGGTAAGAAAGCAGCCGGCCCTCCCGGAGGGGGGATCCCTGCGAGCGTGGGCCCGCACGGGGCAGTTCGGCCTCGGGGAAGGGAGCTTGCCTGCCCCCGTCCTGCCCTGCCCCTGTCCCGCTTGTACAGCCCCGACACTGTTGCTGTAGCGCAGGGCGCTGCGTGTGCCGGGCTCCGTTAGTCGTTTGTTTCACAACTGCTGCCGCGTGTGCTTTCTGGAGTAAGGGGCAACGCGTGAAATCGCAGCAGGGACGTTTGTAAAGCCGCTGCAGCAGCAGCCCGGTCCGGCCGCCGTGCCCGTGGGAGAGGGGCTGCAGGCAGGCTGCGAGGCTGCTCGCACTCCGTGCCCCCCGGCACCTTCGGACGGACCCGCAACCCGCGGCCGCTCGTTGCTCGTAACCATTTTTGGTCTCGAGTGCGGGACCGGTACGGAGGTGCTGCTCTTTTCGAACGCAGCACCGGCCGGTTATTCCGTTTAGTAGCATCTCCCCTTTCTAGTGCCGGGTCCGAGGTTTTCATTAATGTCACGGCAGATGGAGAACGGGATCCCTTTCTTCCCAACTTTGTGGGGCTTCCGCCCTCCGCGCACGAGGAACAGCGCACAGAGTAGCGGCCTGCAGCCCGCCTTGCCGCTTCAGCCGCGGGGTCTTCTCCTCTCTCTTAAATAGCTCCCGCTTTGTTCAGCGAGAATTTGCAATGTAAATTCCACTTGCTTTTTCAATTGCTGTAAAAGGGGGCGAGGAAAACGACTTCAGATTTAAAAAATGAACGCGGAGTCGCAACTTTAAAACGGTTGCGACTTTCGAACAAGAAGTTCGGGGCGTTTTTTTCCCGTCCGTTTCTCAGCAGGCGCCTCTCGGAGCCTCCCGGCCGAGCTTTTGTTGCCGCGGTTCCTCCACCCGCCTTTGTCCCGAGCGGCGCTCCCGGAGCTGCCCGGGAACCCGCACCGCTTCGGGCCGAGAGACGCGCGGTGGGGCTGAGCCCGGGCAGCGTCCCTGCCCGGCGGGGCGCTGAGCGTCCTCCACCACTGCCCCTCGCATCGCCACCTGTCATCTTTCTTTGATTTCTGCTTTAAAGTGTTTGCTTTTGCCTAGCACAGGGTTAGGCTGTTCTAAGCATGGAGAAAATTTACCAGAAAATTGATTCAAGCATGCACCCTCTGCCATAAACTTCTAGTGTGGCAAAACGGTGTTTCTCTACTTGAAAACGCCATTCTTCGGGAGCATTCTAGTATCAGAATGTGAAAGCTATGGGGAAACTACTGACTTAAACTTCAGAAACCCTAAGAATCTGCTTTTCTCCCCTCGCTGCGGCCTAATCAGCAGCTTTCACATACTGCAAAGACACGAGCTGGTTAGGAGCGGTGTGACGAGACAAACGCGAAAGCTGAACCCCAGTGAGCTGAACTTGGTGGCCCGGGCCCGAGAGGGTCCCTTTGTGCAGCCCCAAGGCCGCCCCGCTCCGTGTCTGATCCCTGCGCTGTTGTTTTGCAGAACATGCCCCCTATGAGCCCCGAGAAGCCTGCTTTGTGCGCCGGGTGTGGAGGGAAGATCTCAGACAGATATTACCTGCTGGCTGTTGACAAACAATGGCACCTCAGGTGTCTTAAGTGCTGTGAATGTAAACTGGCTTTGGAGTCAGAACTCACCTGCTTTGCCAAGGACGGCAGTATTTACTGCAAGGAGGATTACTACAGGTACAGCAATCAGTTCTCACGGGTTCAAAATCACGTCCCCTCCCCAGGCATTACGAACCGAACCGCTCTTTTCTTCCCCACGGGATGCTCGCGAAATAGCTTTTTGCGGCCAGCTACCCCCTCACACGTCCCCTCACAAAAGTCTCGCGCGTTTACCCACCGGGCGGGCGGCCGGGGGAGCCGAGCTCGTGGCGGCACGGGAAGGGACGAAAGAGCCGAGCCTCGGGCTCCCGCCGCGCCGGGTAAGCGCAGGAACGCAGCCTGCGGCCCGGCGGAAACTTTCCCTCCGACCATCGAGCTCCGCATCCCCAGCGCGGAGCGGCCGAAGGGCGGCGGACAGCGGCGAGGCCCGCACCGTGCGGAGCCATGCCCCTCGCCCAACCCCGAGGAGACGGCGGCTGGGGCTGAGCGGGGGCCGTTCGCTCGAACGTTTCGGCTCCCCCAGGGAGCCTCCACTCCTCCGCGGCCTTTCTGGTCTCTAAACGACCGAAAGGATGGGGCCGCTTCGTTTTCTCCCCTCCCGCGTTTCTCTCCGCGCTCTGGCGGCGGGGAGCTTTTGCTCGCCGCAAGATCTAAGCGAACAGGTCAACCGGGCAGAAAACTCGAGGCGTTTGCCCGACGGCAGCGGTGCCGGGTGTCTGCGGGGACTGCGGGAGCCGTCCCGGGGCGGGGAGGGACGTGCGCGGCCCCGGGCTCCTTGCCGACCTCCCGCGGCAGGAGCGAGGCGGACAGCGCCGTGGCGAGGTCTTCCTTGACCTTTCTAGTTGATGCCCACCGTTCGTTTCCCTCAGAAGGTTCTCCGTGCAGAGATGTGCCCGCTGCCACCTTGGGATCTCAGCCTCTGAAATGGTCATGAGAGCCAGGGAGTCGGTTTATCACTTGAGCTGCTTCACCTGCACCACCTGTAACAAGACTCTGACCACGGGCGATCACTTTGGCATGAAGGACAACCTGGTTTACTGCAGGGCCCACTTCGAGTCCCTTTTGCAAGGAGAATACCCCCCTCAGCTGAGCTACACCGAGTTGGCAGCCAAAAGTGGAGGGCTGGCCCTGCCCTACTTCAACGGCACGGGCACTGTGCAGAAGGGGAGGCCCAGGAAACGAAAGAGCCCTGCCCTGGGAGTGGACATCGTCAACTACAACTCAGGTGGGCAGCTCACCCGGCTTCCCCCCCTTACCCCCCACCCCATCCTCGGCTCGGAACGCTCTCGGGCTTCCCCTGGGCCGGGTGGTGTGTGGGGAGCTCAGCCGGGCCCCGGCTCGCGTAACTATTGGCAAATCAAACCAACGGCTCTCTGAGGGTTGGAGTTTTGCAGGAAAGCTAACAGCAGCCCTCCTCAAAGGCTGTCTGTGCCCATTAATGTCAAACACTCAAACTTAGCCGCTTACCAGGGTAAAGACAAAAACAACAGAAAAAGCAGAGAAACACCACACCTTTCTCTATAGAAACCTTGGAGATACCGTTGCCATTATTTGTGTTTCATTAATGAAAACACGTCATCATTTAGATTTCAAAGTATAAGAGTCCAAAAGGATCAGAAGAAAAAAAAAAAATGTAGAGCAAAAGAAGGCTAGAACGTGGCCAGCACGATGTGCAGGCAGTCAGAGCAGGTCTCCGATTCATAGCACTGAACTCTCCAGGCGAAACAATCCCGGTTTACTGGCACATAAACAATCAAACTGCACAAGAGGCCAACGAATAAATGTTGTTCCCCATAACGAAGCCTTAACAAATGTAATTAACAGGAACGGTTTCTGCTCTCTTAACGGTAGGAAAGAAACGAGTGTCAGACTCTATTAAATTTCCTCTCTTTCCGCCACTTCAGTACCCACGCCGTGCCCGAGCACCCCGTGCTAGGGGCTGGAGGGAAGGGAGATTTACGCGCTATCAGGCGCTTTAAGAGGAGTTTCGTTAGACGGAAGCCGAAAGTAGAGAGGACAAACCCGAACAGAAAGCCCCCGCCTCCCCAAAAGCTTGGGGAGGAAGAGCAGCCTCCGGAAGGGGCAGCGGGCAGGGAGCGGGCAGCGGCTGCCCCAGGCGGCCAGGGAAGCTCCGCGCCGGTTTCAGCCCCCTCCCTCCGCCCCAGTTCGGGCCGCTGCTCGGAGATCCGTGAGCAGCCCACGGCTCCCCCCGCGCAGACTGCAGCCCTCCCCGGCACGTCCTCTGGGGCTGCTGTGAGACGGGCCGCGGCTGGGAACGGGGTGGCTGTGCGAGGCTATTTCATCTCCTCTGATGCGTAGACCTTGGAGCTGGGGTAATCACTGCGCTAATTGTTCCTTGTTAATTGAAGATGACATTGGAATCCCTGGCTACGGAGCGGTTTCCAATCAGTCCTGAAAGCTGCTAAAGAAAAGCGAACCTGTGGCACAGCCCCGGTTCATTCAGTGCCGGCCCCTGGTGGGGGGGGAGGGGGGGTCCCCATCTGCCCGCTCTCTCGAATTCTCAGTTGGCCACCCGAATTCCCCAGGTCCCCAAACAGAATTATTTCTACGGATAAGTTATCATTAGAATTAGGATCAGAAATGTTGTGGGTATGATAAGACACCCCTGACGTACTCAACAGAGAATTACTTGTGAATGCGGTCACAGTTTTTGGGTGCGAGTCCTGAAAGTCTCCTTCATTACAACCACAACGGTTGGAAGATTCACTGACTGCAAAGCGAGATTAAAACCCACTGCCCACTATAAAAATATAGCCCATTTCATTGAGGTCTCACCTAATTTTGAACAAACAAACAAAGAAGACCGCTCTAATTTGATGTCTTATGGTTCATGTAGATGGCTGAGGAATTTGATCTGGCTGGGCTGTATTTTTTGCTTTAAGCATTACCTAGCAGTGTCCAGTGCTTACACACGGTCTTGAGAAAATACAGCCTGCAGCAAAAGCATGCATCTGGTGCAAACGAGTCCAGCCCATTGACCTGCTGTGCTGCAGATCCAAGGGGAGGAAAACAAGCCTCTGACAGTTATGAAATGAGTTGCAGTGGATGGAACTATTTCTTGAAAGAGGAGAAAGATAAAGTTTCTCAATAATTGGCAGCCACTTCCTACACGCGTTTCCCATCCTTTGCCCTGCACTCTGGCATCCTCCCTTCCACATCCCATCTCCCAGGGATAGCAGCCTGCTGCACGCCCGCACAGCCCTGCATGCCTCACACCCTGCAGCCCCCAGCACATGTCTGTCCTGGACCGTGTGCTCCACGCCAGCCGACTCTGCTCATGCCAAGTGTGCTCCTACAGCTCCCTGCTTCCTGGGAACAGGGCACTTCCCTCCCCAGGTAAAGCGAGGTCTGACGAAGCTGGCTGCATTGGGATGGCAGGCCGTTACAGAAACAAATCAGACTTCTAAAGCCAACTGGTGCAGCTGACCCTGATTAGGCCAACAGCCCCACAGAGCTGTGCGCAAAAATCCGCATAGTCAAAAACAGTCCCCATGATCAGGCTCAGACCTGTGCATGAGTTTTGTTGTGGAGGAGCCAAGCATGGGGCCAGGGTGGGAAATGGGCTTCTGCTGCGGCACCTACAACAGCTTTTCTATTTTGCATGTTGTTTAGCAGTTTGGTTTCTGCTTCTCAGCTGTAAAGTGGAAACAACAATAAATAACTCAAAATGTTGTGAGCTAAAGCCATTCGCGCTTGTGAACTGTCTGCAATTAATGTGAAAAAATGGAAGAAACTATTCAAAACTACTTAAAACATTCAAAGCTTTCTCTATATTACCTCTTATATCATAGAATTGATATATATTTTGAGGCAACTGTGTTGACTTACAGCTCACAGGATATAGAAATGAGAGGGTGAAGAAGATTTACCTAGGAAAATATTTTACACAGCTGTTGCTCCAAGAGCTGCTTACTTTACTTCATAATAAATACGTGTGTGTGAAAAACTAAGAAGAGTTCACTTGAAAAATTCTTGGCAGTAGAAAGCAAAGAGTTCTAGCTCTTTCCAAAGCAAAATTAAATTAGCAACTCCCTGATCCCATTGCAATGAAATAAGCAACAATATCTTGCCCAATTTTCTGCTTTCTCCTGGTTCTCCAGGCAATGGTATTAAGTTCTGCAGGATGATGTGGCAAAGCCACACAATGCTGTTATAAAAGGGAGATGGATCTGATCACTGCATGAACAGGGGTTGTCTGAGAATGCTCCGAGCTCCATTCTTACTTTCTCTTGAAAATGAAAGTCCAAACAAAGTAGATCACAGATGAAAAGAGAAAAAAAAAAGAAAAAAAAGCAGCAAGCAGGACAGAGGAGCGTGAGGAAGTTTGCTTTGCTGCCATACCCCTGCATGATCCAGGAAAAGGAAACACACAAACAGCTTACAAATGTCTGATGGAAAACCTGAGGTTTGAATCTGGTGATCTGCTTTATGGCAGCTGATGAGTTACTACCCACACAATTTGACTGAAGGCAGTGTGACTACCTGTGAAAACAAGGAGTAAATGTAAATCCCAATCTATCCTGAAATTGTTTTTAAGGTAAATTTCGACTCCTGGTGCTTTCTGAAGTGTCAGTTTGCTTTGTTTGAAAGTGCAGACAGACTTCTCACAAAGACTAGAAGCAAATCTAACTATAATTAAATATTCACCTGATTTTCTGTCAAAGCGTTGTCTTAACAGTGTCTGTTCATGTTGCCTTGTCTTATAATTCAGAAGAGAAAACACCTTCAAGAAGCTTTCTATTTTCTCTTGGTTTCAAGTTGTTTTGCCTGTTTTTAGCTCTGTCAACATCAGTGTCTCTCTATTGTCTTCTCCGTCTTTCTCTCCTCTCTTTTTTGAGAAATTGGGATCAGCTTGCCCTAGTAAATAATCCACTATCTGAGAGCCAAGAGCTGTTCAAAAATTCAAATGATCAAGTAATGAATCTTGGTCTAGTTTACACACATTCTGACTTCTTTTCAATTCAGTTCAGTCATTAGTACTCCTTGCTATGATTGTGTGTTCAATCTTCTCCTGTTTAAGTGAGCTATCATTACAAAGTGGTATCCTGAAAGTAATCCAATTGTTTTTAAGCCAAAGAGAAAAAAAACAGGTGTTTTTCTTCTTCTTCTTCTGTTTTTTCCAATATTGTCGTGTCTTTCCCCAGTGCTGAGTGGTGATGCTACAAGTCCATGAACAGCTGCCACTCTAGGGTACAAAATCACATCCAGAGAAGTGCAATCTGGAACAAAATAATCTTTCACAGATGCTTTGGAAATCTGGAATCAGAGAAATTGGGGAAAGTCTTTCAAATTTTGGAGCCACTATTTACTTGGTTGCTTGCAGGAATCTTGTTAATCAGTATCAGCTAAGAGCTGCTGCTGGGTGGGACTGAGATGGAGGGCCTGAATCAAGCCTTGACCAACTACTTTCTAGAGATGCTTTACAGAGGAAAAGTTTCCAAGAAATTCACTTAAAATCTCAGGCAGAGTCCGAAACCATTTATTTTATCAGCAAAGAAATCCAGATTTTCTGCTTTCCTGATCAACTGTCATAACAAACTTTCCTGCTGTACATCTTTTTTAAAGGTACTTGTGATTTGGAGGAAGGCTTAGGAACATTCAGAATGCTGGCTTGACCTTTATTCTTCTCTCAAGCTAAGAGTGTTTCAATGAGTGAGATTTCAAAATCTCAATGAGATTTCAGATGACTCTTTGGATGCCCAAAGCAAAACCATCACCACAGGGAAAAGACTTGTTTGAAAATAAATGCCAAAGAAGAGATAACTTTCTATGCCTGTCCTTAGTAGGTAACGGCCTAGGGGACATAGCATGTTTTAAGTATAAGAAAAGGTCATTTTCTAGTTCTTTTTTGTCTCATCTAATTATCACATCTATACTTAGTCTTGCACCATGTTAGCGCTTCTTTCCTTTCTTGCTCTCTAGCTTGCTTCCTTCCCTCCAAATAGTACCTTAGCCATGATTGTTGCCTTGATTCCTTTATCATCCATGCGGCACAGCCACTAACTCACTGCTTGATTTATTGAACAGGTTGTAATGAGAACGAGGCAGATCACATGGACAGAGACCAGCAGCCTTATCCCCCATCCCAGAAGACAAAGCGCATGCGCACCTCCTTCAAACACCACCAGCTTCGTACCATGAAGTCCTACTTTGCTATCAACCACAACCCAGATGCCAAGGACCTCAAGCAGCTTGCCCAGAAAACAGGCCTGACCAAGAGAGTTTTGCAGGTAAGAAGCCACCATCGCAGGCTTGACAGAATTTTCCCCTACTGCTGCCAGTCGATAGCATTTCCCATATGTGTAACAAGAGCAATATATAAATACTTTTGCTAGTGTGTCCCTAGTGGGTGTGCAGAGGGGTGTGGTATTACATGACGGGAGTGCCAAATGTATACCTGAAGGCAGCCAAATACTGAAATGTGATTTATAAGTAGTTGCATCCTCAAGATGAGGAAATTGTCTCCAGAGTCTATGACCTGGGGGACATCCTGGGATCTGTAGTCTCTATGTGCTGATCTTATTAAGGACAGAGGTAGCAAATCTACTCATTTTACACATAGTGGGTGAAGCCCTTGGGCTCTTGAGAGGCAGTTAACGTGGCCCCTCAGTGAGCAGATCCTCAATATACAGGAGGCAAACTTTGACCAGTACGATCTTCCAGGATCAGCCTGTTCCCTTGTACTACCAAGGGCCTCCATAGCAAAGTTACTTCCCTGTGAAAGAGCTCAGCAAATGACATTAACAAAATCTGTGTAACGGTGTGTGCTAGCTCAGAGAAGTTAAAGTGAGGTATGTGTTGTAAGCTGTGTGCAGAGAAGGGCACTAATCTAGGGACAAAGAGAATCTATTAGCAGTGATTGCTTGTCTGTATTCCAAATCACCTAAAACACTTTCAGTGAACCCTGCCAAAGAGAAGGACTAGGTAACCGATATCAACAAGCTGCATGACAGGGACAGTGTAATTTCCCCTCCTTCCTTGTCAGTCTTTTAAAATGATTAAGATAAACTTTAAGTCTTAGCCAAAATCTGCTCGTTCACCCTTTGCCTTCATCTTTGAGTCTCGACCCTAAAACTCCCCAGGCGAAACAAGCACCAGTGGCCATGCAAAACGTTGCCTCTGTCGGGCGAGTGAGCGAGCAGATTTCCCAGGACTTGGCACTGGGCCCCGGGCCTTGTGCAGGGCCTGCCTGTGAGCCGGTACCACCAGTAGCAAGCCAGGCTGTAGAGTGATGTGGGCAACTTGCCACACAAATCAAACATCAAAAAGATGGCGTAAAAGCAAGAACAAAGACATACAAACAATCAAACAAACAAACAAGCATCGGTAAAGAAATCCATTGGGATTGGTTTGCAGGTTTGGTTTCAAAACGCAAGAGCCAAATTCAGAAGGAACCTTTTGCGGCAGGAGAATGGGGGTGTCGATAAAGCGGACGGCACCTCACTTCCGGCACCGCCCTCCGCAGACAGCGGCGCTCTCACTCCACCCGGCACTGCGACCACTTTAACAGACCTGACCAATCCCACTATCACTGTAGTGACATCAGTGACCTCTAACTTGGACAGCCACGAACCCGGGAGCCCCTCACAAACTACCTTAACGAACCTTTTCTAACATTGCCGTTTTTTTTTTTTTTTTTTTTTTTTTACTCTTACTCTTCTTCTTTATTATTATTATTATTATTATTATTTTGATTATTTTCAAGCCTTTTTTTTTTTTAAACAAAATAACAAACCCACAAAATATTTGGGAAAATAAACAGCTTGATGTGTAGCATCTGCAGCCACTTGGCAAATGAGTTTGAAGTAATATGTTGCTATAATAAACGAACATTTATTGTTGATAAATTGTACTCAAATTTTTTTAATTCATCAGACAAACGAAGAGAAGTTCTGAGTCATTCTAATAAGTGCCTCTTAAAATTGTATGTTACTTATTTCCACAATCTTGAAAAAAACATGAATACCACTACGACTACAAAGCCCAAAAGTTTCTTTTCTCTCCCTGATAATCAGCTAAAAGTCAGTATAATCATAGACAAAAGAATGCTGCTTTCACGATTGTATGTTCACTTCCAGAACCCGAGATTTCCTTTTATTTTTATAACACATCTAAAAGTTTTGTACGATTTATTTTTTAAATGTAGACAAATAAATACAACGTGGATTAAATCGATGACGTAGCCAGACCGCAAGTCCCAGTGCTTCTTTGTAACGCGTTAGGGCCATGGCCGACCCCCCGGGCACGCTGGGAGCCCCACGGGGCCCAGAGCTGCCCTTCAGCCCTGCACCCAGCCCACACCGAGGGCTGCACCTGGTGGGGGCCTGGAGTGGGGCCCATCCAGCACAGCCGAGGATGTGGGTCTCCGAGCTCACCTCTGCGAGTTATGGAGGGCAAGGGTGGGAAATGCCCTTGCGGAATGAGCTCGCTGCTGTAAGGGTATTGTTAGAGCAGAGCAACAGCTCGAGGTGGGAGTCCCTCTGATCTGACATATTGCACAGGGAGGGGTTTTCCTTCTGCTCTGCAGTCAAATGGCACAGGTTAAGAATTAAATTAAAAAAAAAAAGGGGACAGTTTGCTGCTCGGCCTCCGTGCCGTACTACTAAAGCAAACAGGGGTCGTCCAGCTACTTTAGCGAGCACCGAAATGATTGCCAACGATGCACAAGCATGTGTACTGTTAAAGGAGCTTTTGATAAATCACAGTTTTTCAGGGAAATGGAAATAAGCAAAATATAATTTATTAAGATGTTTAAGGAACATGATTTTAGTACGATTTATTCATTACTATTTTGAATTTACTGTAGCTGTTTTCTGGGATTGTATCAGACTCTTTGTTTAACACACAAAATTAAAATCTTTAGTTCCTTGCTATCTTTAACATACGCTTTACTTTTTTTTAACTTTGTATAGAAGGAAAAAAATGTTAGCAAAAATTCTTACGAAATTGGGAATTGGCAGCAGATAATTTTGAAGCAGATAAACTCAGAAGCCTTGTGGATGCTGATCTCAATGCATTTCTTAGTTTACAATAGCAAACTTTCTTTTTTTTAATTTTATTTAAGCTAAAAGTCTGAATGGTCTGGGCAGTGGTGAATGTTCATTTGTATCCTTTTATTGTAGTTGAACACCAATTAGATTGTGGAGAGTCTCAGAAACAAAACCGAACAAAAACCAGTCAAGATCTATGTCTTGCTTTTAGTGGATTGTTAAGAATAACTTTGCACATATACCCCACTTTTTAGACACCATCAAATCTCTTTTTTGGTGGTCAAAGTGGCTATTTAATATATTTTAAAGGTGTCCTTTTTGGCTGTATAAATGTGTGGTTACATATTGACAGTTCACTGCCCACATTAAAGTGCATTATTGTAATTTTTGCTCAGGGTTTTTAGAAAATTAGCACAGAAAAGTAGCTTATTTTTAAAAAAAAAAGATGATGGAAGAGATGTTAACACTGTAATAGAGGAAAGGTGTGTTTGCCATTATATATTTAGCAAGTATGGTTATCATCTTCTACGGATATTAAATCTTGACTTTTCCTATTTCTATTATCTTATGGGCATTTACCACTAACCAGACCAAACAACCTTGGTAAGGCTGAGATCTTTATTAATACACTTTTACAGGTAAAAATATTGATACTTATAAATTTTGTTCTTTGACAGAACAATATATGGTACTAGAGATCTACTTTATTAAGTAGACTAATTAAAACTCAGTTCTACTATGTGCCTTATGATATACCTTGGGAGTAAGTTTGTGAAAAATCAGGATATATGTGTTGTTTGTTAAATTAACTGTTTTAAGCCCTTTTGACACCTCACTAGTTTTGTACTGTTTTACCTCTTATTTCTGAAACTCTTTTTATGGTGTATCCTGTTAGAGGGGACAAACATGTCATAGAAAGCAGTTGTGCACTCTTTCAGATATAGTTGATAAATCCAATAATCTTATATATTGAGCTTCGTGTTTATAGTACAGTAAGTGGTCTAGCAAAATTGTCCATGTTTCTTTGTTTATTGATAAATGCATTGTATAGAAACTATTTCCCCTAAATATTTATGGACCAAACAATTGTGATATATCCTATTAAATTTGTGTGAATAAACCATTTTGAATCTAAGGAGTTATTATTTCCCATCAGTTTTTATTATCATTATTTTTTAATTTAAAGCCTACATGTTCCGGAGTGTCTCTTTGCTTTTACGGTACCTGCGAACAATTGGTATTAAACATGCAAACACGGCCTTTTAAGTATTCTAAAGTAGGGTCCCTTCTTAGGTTTTTGATTTCTTCCTATTCAATGTATGTGCTACTGCTGGTGCGATTTAGATGTTAGCCTCTTAACCCCCTTTTTTGAACATGCCAAGTAATGCCCCACTGATTTGATATGGAAACCCCAGCATAGGCTTCTAAAAAAGTCAGAAAGCTAGCAGCTAAAGTAATTGCATGACGAATATAACCTAAATAGTATGATGAAATGAAGCAAGATTTAATGCTAGGTGTATTGAACACAAACTAGAATTGCAGACCCCGAAAAGCCAGGTTGCTCTGTAGTTTAATAAATTGTCACTATGATTTCTTTCAGGGAGAACAAATCATGGGGCATTACAGCCAAACATCCCGACGTTTGAAAATTCCCTAAAGTATTAAAAGAAGGGGAAAAGTTTGATCGGAAATCCACTGCAGTGAAGACAAAGACAATATTAGGTTATGATAATCATACATTTAAAAATCTATCGAGCCAAAAAATAAAAATAAAAGACTTGATGTCATTTCCTGAATGTTAACAAAACATATGTTATTTTATGGTGTCTAATTAACAGAACTGGAGGCTTCAACAAATTGTGTGGTATTAAAAACAAATTTAGAGAAACTATGTATAAAACCAGAGCAACCTGGCAGCAATCTACCCAGCCCATATTCGAAGAAAACTTTTCTTTAAAAATATCACATTTGTCAAGCACAAGTACTTGTAAAATAAAATCTGAGTGCATTCATTCCACTTGCTTGCTAGTGTGTACCAGTCATACCTGTTGAATGGATTTTTGTAAATTCAAAGAGAACTTTTCACTCATTCCAAATCATAGGAATCAAAACCCAGTAACTTTAGTACTATTGTTTCTGAATCCTTTTTTTTTTTTTAATGAGACAAATCTGCATGCACTTTTCCATCTGTCACATATAGTGTACATTTCTGTATGATGAATTTCTCTTTGATGTTTCTTGTATAATAGCTTTCATTAATAAACATTTTATTTGATGCAAACATAGTTAACTTTATGTAAACACTTAGCTAATTGTTCCAGCTAATTTAAACTTTTCTTTTGAAAAAAAAGCAGTAGAGCGCAGTTCCAACACGTTATATATATGAAATCAAAAAGAATGAGGTAGCAATACTGTTACACAGCGAAAAGTATTTCTTTTGGTGTTTACCTTCTATTTTTTTAACCTGCTGTATAAAACTGACACTTTTTTTTTTTTTTTTTTTAAATCCCATCGGCATCAGCAGTAAAACAACCCCGAATTCTTCTTCCATATCCAAAAACATAGGCAGTATGTAAAACTCTCAATGACTTTTAGAATACATGGATATAATTTGTGGATCCCTGAGCTGTTTACAAGGTCACTATGCAATGAGCAAGTACATTACAAATAGTTGCTCCTGAGATTCCCAGTCTAAAAGGCAGATGATTTTTACGAGGCGACAAGCAAGTGTGACAATAACCAATTATTAGTAATGAGGCTTTGTAAGCGTTAAGCAACTATTTGCAGAAAGATTTTTTAAAAATATATTCCTATTTAGCTGTATAGCCAAAGCGTATGTTAAACAAATTAACATATAAAAACTTGCCAGAAAATCTTTCATTAAGATGACATTTTTATTATATACTAATGAACCCTATGTAAACAATGTAACTTTTATGAATGATGGACATTAAATATTTCACTTACGTGTATCCTCAGCATTTTGCATGTTTTCTTAAGCTCTTCCAGTTTCTGAATTCTAAAGAGAAAACCATACAGTTATTAACAACATAAGACAAAGTTACATACAGATTACTGCAGCGATCTCTGGAAACTGGTAACCAAGAGTGTTCTAATGGCAATAAAAAGGTATCATTTATTGGTGGCAATTATGGGAAGTATTGTTTAAACAACAGTTTTATAGTCTGTTGTAAAGTTCTGTTTAAAAAGGTTAGCATGGAGGACTTAATTCAAATCAGCTTGATCAGAAATTTAAGTATACTGTGAGATTCTTAAACCGAGCCTTATGTGCATTTATTGCTGCAGAAAAGGAGGCCATGCAGAAAAGTGATCATTCCTATCTCAGCCATAATGTGGTTTCCCCGTGTTGTCCACAAGAAAATATTATGAACATTAATTATTAAACCCAGTAAAGATCTAGGGTGTTGTTTAGGGCACTGAGAAAACTTACTCTTGCTAATTTTTCTTTTGTAAATCACTGCATTCTTTAGTCAGTTGGAATCCTTCTGTACCATTTTAATGCTTACAAACATATTTCCAATCTGAATTATTGTCCATGTGCTGCTTTTCTCATTTGATTTAAATTAGAAAAATAAATGAATTGAACGCTCCCAACGAAAAACAAGCTCCACTGAAGTAAACAGCAAAATTAAATTAACTGATTAAAGTGCAACCAGGGGAATTTTGTGTCTCCTTGATGATTAACGATATCAAGGTTTCATTTCTTAACAGTGCTATTGTTTGTCTGGGGATAGTCCTGCATTTAGTGCTCTGATTCGTATGAGTAGCTGCATTTGCCATTCCAAGGTTTTTTGCAAGACAACGATATCTGTCCCTTGCATTTAGAGAGTAAACATGTTGAAGGGGCAGCATTATACCGGAAAGAAAAGTAAGGAATAATTTCAGACAAGATTTAAGAGAATACAAGACAAACCTGAGCTTTCACTTGTCAGAAGTGAAGTGTGCTAGGGTTCTTCCTAGTGGATGCATGCCCACAGCTAGATGCAGCATTTCGTTTCACTTCTGGTCTCAAAAAAGAAGTCAAATTGTGCACTCCTAGAACATCTGACTCAGAATTATTCACTAGAGGAATGGTTTGCAGGGCTGGGTCAAATGACAGAAGGCTGACACCAGAGCTCACTGGAATCGGTGAATTTTCTCTCCCTGATCCTGCGGGCTTTGAGCCAGGAGCTGAATGAACATAGAGACTAAATTATTCTCTTGCCTCTTAAGAAAGCATAACCTTCAGAATGAGATAGAATATATAGGACAGCAATGCCGCTCTGTTCTTTAGATTTCATTCTTGAGAGCTGCTAATGCAAGCACCTGGCACATGCATTCAATTGACTTCAAAATATTTCTTCCTCCTTCACCCAAATACAGGACACAAATTATACTACTGGAAATTCCAGAAGCTATTATAGTGTTGGAGACTTTATTCAGTTATTCTGCAGTGCTGAACAATTCTCCTGCACTTCTCAATTGACGCAGACTTATCTTGACACATACCTATATACATATCCTTGTCTTGCCTTCAGATAACTAGTACTTTCATATCTATTTAAGTCACTCAAACCTATAGGAAGTAACTCTCCAGGCTTACACGTTCAGCTAAAGCAGTTGTCATAACTTTTATTTTGTTGTTCCTCCAAACTAAAATATTTTATCCGAAGCAATTTTAGGTTATGAAATTGCACTTTTTTTGTATGCTTTTTTTTTTTTTTTTTTCCATAGCTTTGGTTCAAAAAACTAGTGCTTGAAACATCTACATGCATGGATTATTTTGCTATACAGCTTTTCCTGTATTACCCAAAAAAGCAAAGTCACTGGAATCATTGAATTTGTGGCCTGCATGTTTCTCTATAAATGTTTTACTCTTCAAATAGTTTTAATCATAAAAAATGATATTAAATGCATTCTATTTTTTCTAGTGTGATAAATATTAGAAATGATACCTTCTTGGCTGCACTCAGCTTTGGAACAAGTGTGTTTCTGCTTTTGGAAATGGAATTGTGAGCAAGCGTCCTTTGAAATTTCTGATACTTGCTGCTGCTAGGAACAGAGGGACTAGACTGAAGTCCTAATCTAGCTTAACAAAAATCAGTGCTATTTTCTGTTCTGCCCTCTCTTCCAACTGGACTTTAAGTGACGCTAAGAAAAATGTCAGTACTTATTTTAGTGCTAGAAAATAAAAGTGAGATGTTTTCTTTTGTACTTCGGTTATGCACTTCAATACAGATTTCTGAGTCTGAACAGATGCACAGTGTCTTGAGTATATGAGACTGCTGCATACAGCAGATAAATAACACAGGAATGAACAGCCTGAGAAATGGTTATTGGACTAGAAATGTAAGCAGTCACAGTGGGAAATGTGGTGATTTATCATCTTATGAATCCTTACTTCACCCTTTTCCTTCAGGAATTTGTACTCAGCTGAGTATAAATGACCAACTCACTTTCTGTGGCCATATATAACTCAGTGCTATGACTGAGATGCAGTAGAGAACAATCCATAACAAGAAATTCTCAGGAATAATTACCTCAGCAAAATAACAAAATATTATTTATGCAATATCCTAATGACAGTAAATAAAACACAACAGCAAGAAAACTGACAACGTCAGCATCGTATCTTAATATGATGATTTGACCAAACAAATGTATATCCCATCACTCCAACGAAGTATGCAGTCTTAGCAGAAGGGGCAAGATAAGCTTAGAAACTAGCCAAAAAGTATTCACTCACAGGTGAATACTTTTCATCTTCAAAGGTACTCTCATAATTACTGGTCATGCAGCTGTTGCAATTGAATAGACTGTATCTCACATCTTCTTTTCTGGTTACCCAGTGCAGTATTATTTGACTTGATGAAAAAAAGTGGGCTTTGGAGAAGGCACTGAAATGGACACTCTGAAGTGCATGAATGCCACTGTGTGCCTGCAAGCATATTTGATAGGAAATACTGCACAATTCAGACTCTTAATATCAGTCTTAAAAAATTTACTGCTTTCTTTTTGCTTCTTATTTATTTTTATTTGAAAATTCCTTTCTTTTTGAGTGTGAGGCTACCTGAGCCTTCACTATATTAACTGAAATAATCTTTAACCATATTTAGTAATTTTTTTTCTTAATGA